GGCGACGGCGGAGATGGTGGACAAGGAGACGTCGCAGGAAGGGGGGGTAGAGGAGGAGGGTCCGGCAGAAAATAGGACGAGAGGGGGGACAGGAGAGTAGGAGAAGGCGCGAAGGAGGAGGTGGTGGGGAAGAAGAATAAGGAGGTGGTGGTGACAAATGAAGGAGGTAACATAATAGAAGAAAGGGGCGAAAAAGTAGAAAGGAGGGTGGAAGGGGGAAGAGGAGGTGTCGAAGCGGAAGGTCGAACTTGGGAAGAACAAAGAGTTGAGGGGAGGTAGAAGGAGAATGTGAGCAAGAAGAAGGAGGTGGGGAACGAGGATGAGAGGGTGGGAAAGAATAAGAAGCTGTTGAAGGGAAGGAGGAGGAGAAAATGAGGTAAAGGAGGAGGACGAGGAGTCAGAAGGAAGGAGTTGGGAAAGGAGGAGGAGATGAGGAACATGGAGGAGCAGTTGGGGAAGAAGGAGATGATGGAGGAGAAGGCGGGAAAGAAGCACGAGGAGATGAGAACTGGGAATGGGGAAGTGGCGGCGAAGACTCGGCCTCCGCCTCTCCCTCCCCTCTTTACTTAAAATTCGCCGGGGGCGCCCACCGGTCAGCGGCGTTCGCTTCAAAGGACGACACGCTAGCTGGAGCATCAGCCCTCGCCCTTCGCACACGGCTGTTCACAAGGCAGCTCGGAAGCCAGGGCATGTCTCCTTAAAAACGTGCAGAATAAAGAATGTGTTGAAAATATATAACAATTCCTTTAAATAATATTACACTTGTATTTATTTCTATACAATTACCAAGCAATGTACAGTTTTTCAATTTTAATATTTTAAACGTTAACACAGAGTTTAAACGTTAAATATATTTCTAATTACAACGTTAGTAGTAGAAAGATTGGTTCAAGTTTCGACTTTATGCCATATTTGCACACTGCTTTCAAAATAAATAGAATAAAAAGTAGAAGAAATGTAACGTCTATCGATTAGATAAGGACTTTGAGTCCGTCACCTTGATGTAGTTGTATTATTCTTGTTATTAAAAGGTTCTCTACATTTGTGTTCATTAAATAATATAATTAAAAACGAAGAATAATACATATTTTAGAGATTTCTTAACATATTAGAAATTCATTCCAACTGCAGCTGAAGCTTTTCCTGGGAAACGAGAGCCCTGTGCGCGGCATGGGAATCTGCGGAGGTCGCCAGAAAGCAGGCGCGCGGCGCCGTGCGGCCTCTGGGATTCTGTTCGGCGGCAGTGATAACGCGGCGCCGAGCGCTGCTAACTTGGTTAGAGGATCGGCAGCTTTAAATCGGCGGTAATTGAAGGGCAGATTTCGTTATCTCGCGCGACGGCAGCGGCGGCGCGGCGGAGCGGGACAGAGACGGGGTGGGGTGGGGTGGAGTGGGGACCGGGTGAAGAGGGTTGGTGAAGGACAGCTTCCACTCTCGCAGGCATACTTTCAATCAGGTGCTGAAAGTTTTCTTGGGGTATAACAGCCCATTATCCACGGAGTGTTGCACTAAGGGGAGGTGTCGATGTAGGTCGGTGATGCCTGGCGTTCGTCGGCGTTCCAAAACATCCCAAAAGTGTTCGATTGAATTCAAGTCAGAACTCTGTGCAGGCCAGACCATTACAGGGATGTTATTGTCGTGTAACCTCTCCGCCACAGGTCGTGCATTATGAACAGGTGCTCGATCGTGTTGAAAGATACAATCGCTACCCACCCTCCCTCCATTTGCTCTTCAACAGTGGGAAGCAAGAAGGCGTTTAAAACATCGACGTAGGCCTGTGCCGTGAAAGTGCCACACGAAAACGACCAGGGCTGCAAGCCCCCTCCATGAAATCCACGACCACACCATAACACCATTTCGGTCGCGTCCGGATACTTTTGGTCACATAGCTCTGGTATCTATTCGAAACCCCGCGCGCGGCTACAGCGTGCATCTTGCTCGTCGGAATTATTGTCGCGCAGCCGCGGGGGATGTAAATGGCGTTGTCCCCCGCGCGGGGCTGACACGCCGGCGCAGAGCGGACGGGAGCAGTAACGGTGTAACAACGAGGGTTACAGCGGTCGCGAAAGTGGCCTCGGCGGCGGTTGCTGCGGTGGTGGCGGTCGCGGCGGCGAGAGCGGGCCGCGCGTGGAGCTCTGCGGCGCAACACTGCGACGCGAAAATCGCGGTCCGAACGCGCGTTGTCTCTCTGGTCCTCGCTCGGGGGAAACTACTGTCGTTCGGAACAAATCACGTGGGAAGAGAAATCCATGAGCACTGATTCCGTGGTAAAAAGGACGCCAATGGCATTCCAAATGAAAAAACAAAAGTTTATAAGTTATTAATATTGACGGGTCTGTTCTTGTTCGTTAATGATTGTTAAAAAGGTCTGTTTAAAAACTAAAAGGCCAAATAGAACAATCAATCATGAACAAGAACAGACACTTTAATATTAATAAAATAAACTTTTGTTTTTCATTTGTAATGTCATTTACGTGCTTTTTACCTTGGACTCATTGTTATAAACACAATTTCTCGATCAGACTTTGTCCAGTTTCCGTGATACATTGAGCAAATGCTGAGAAGGCCTCTTGTTTGGCATCTGAACGTAAATGTAGCTTCACTATGCGCACATTTTGTTGAACTCTCCTTTTGCTTGTAGTGGTAGGAGTAGAGGTGAGGGCGAGTTACATTTGTTAGCAGTGCAGAATAATGAAATCTGCAGTTTGTTTACCGTTGCAAATACGTTTTCTATAATTTGGGAACGAATATGTCTCGTTTTGAAATGTTGCTAATCTTGCTCTTTTTTGAATTTCATTTATAATTATTTATTTATTTATCTCTTTATTTCTACTCATCTGTCAACTATTTATAGATAAATTATGGTAAGGGATTATGGAACTCAAGAAAATGTACACAGAAGATTTTATACCCCATACGTCACATACAGTTTTCTGACTGTATAAATCTAAATAAATTCTTGTTCAAGTGATGTAAAAAATTAATTGCATATTATAAACTTACAATTTGCATCATATGTTATGTGTATTCGAATCACCTGATATTTGGGATGTAACATTTGATACATCAGAGAGATAGTATTAAAAAATACAGATATGGAGACTAAATGTAGATGCAAGGGAAATGCGTCAGAACTAATTAAATGATGTAACAAAGGCATTTTCAATTGTGTTTTCCATTTTCAATCTTTGGCGGATATTATTTTTTGTGCATTTTACATATTGTCGTAATTTCAGTTGGCTAAAACAGGATTTAAAAATTGATTACTCCCTGCTCTTGCAATAATTTTGTATCAATCGGATTTTATCCAAATTTTAGTCCATCCAAGTTTTATCCAATCCACCTATTTTATACTTTATCAGTGAAGCATAATATTACAAACATAAAATACCTATAACGTTTGCAAGAAATAATATCGAAGAAATTTAATAACATGGTATATTATATAGACATTTTACTGCTGCCTATTCCCATTTACAATGCCCAAAATAAAGATGTTTGAAAGAGATATAAGCTTAATATTGAAAACGGTACGAAAAAATATAATTTTACAGAAAAGATGGCAATAAGAATATTGGATTATGTATGAAAACGGTTTTCGTCTGTGTCGGAAATTAATATTATAATTTATTCATTCTGGGTATTGGTTCGTGCTATTTCATCACAAAAAACCCATTTATTGATATTGTATATTTATTTATTTATTGACAAAAACGGTAACTTTGTGACATATGCAACTGAGGGAGATTAATCTGTGCATATAATATTCAATAAAATACACTATTGTGAAAACCTCAAGACCTTTAGAACAAACTAATTTGGCAAAACGTCGCACCATCAGCAAACAAAAGTTTATAAGAAGACTATTTTTTCTTGCGTAGAAAAATGAAAGGTAATGAGTAGTAAAGGCGAAATAGGTACGTCAGAATATGATTTGTTCATTTCTAACAATTTAAAACTCTCCTAATTAAAAACTCAATAAACTCGATTATAATGGATGTAAAATGTTGATCGTGATTAAATTAATGCCTACTTAAGGAGAAAGTTTAAAGTCTAAGGGCTTCGAAAGATGATTAGGGCCGCTTTCTATTCAATAATAGGCAGCTTATGCTGACAGATTTCTAGGAAGGCTAAAAGCAGGCGTGGTCGTGCACAAAATACTGGTGCACTCATAACAGCTGTTGGGATAGTAACAAACAACCTCTAAGGTTGTTTAATAACAATAAACCTCTAAGGTGTATTACAAGTGATAGATTTGTTACTAAATAAATAATTTTCAGCGCTTGGTACTTACCTTCTTGGAAACTAGTACTTACCTGTTTGGAAAGTGTTATTTTGCTCTACGCATAACGTACAGAAGTTACGGCATATGTAAATGAAACTGCAAAGTAAACAAGAGACTGGGACATGATTCAACCGCCACGCTTATTGAGAGTGACTCAGATATTGTAAACTTTTAATTTTCCATGAATTCGTACTAACAAAAGTATGTTTGCAGCTGATACGAAAATGACAACTCCTGTCGTTGCCTATTTCATCAACACTTTTTTCGTACAATTACTTGTCCAGAAAGATTTACTTTCTGTATTAGTAACTGGGACAATTTCTATGAAATTAATACCGGACTAGGCGGTGTATTATTAAATTTGTTTTTCCGAGTTAAAGGTATTCATTGAACAACTTTGGAAACAATAAGTGATGACGGACTGTAAATACTTTGTGTAAAAATAGCAACAATGTTTTTTTTCAAATCTGAAATGCATTATTACTCTGGACTGCTGCAAATTTCTATATTTGTAAACCCTCCAACTCATCTGAATATTTTGATCCTTACATTCTTGTCAATAAAAGTATTTGTATTTCAACATAATTCTTAAACATAACTATTATTTTGAGTAATCGCACATGTATATGAAATAGGGTCCCACGGAATTGAATTTAGATTAATATAAAAAAGATTGCCTTTGGAACCAGCATTTGTTACGTTATAGAGAATCTAAATATATTGTGCTCGTAGGCCCAGAGATTTAACATTTCGACTTTTGACCTATGCGAATCGACGTGTATCCCAGAGTCGACATTGCAACGACCGACGCTGTTACTTCGCAGCTGCTATATGTCCATCGCGCGATCTGGTGAGCTGTTCTTCCCGTCTCCACATTCTCGGTCAACCCGTCTCTCGTAAGCCACACTCGTCTCTGCCATCCCCGCACCTCCTCGTGTAGGCTCCCCCACGCCCTCCCCACGCCCATCCCGACGCCCACCCCG